TTCAATTGCAAAGGAATTCATACGAAGTGATGAAGAAAACAAAATGAGACGACAATTGATTGCAGAAAATAAAGCAAAACGACGAGAAAAATGCGATAAAAGTTTAAATTGTATGGACTCGGCACCGGTATCTAACGGGTCGACCATACAATCCCCTGAAACTGAAGAATTAAGCGGATTCTTGAATGACTTAATTGAAAATAATGTTAATATTAGTGAACAAATACTGAAGATAGAGAGTAGTGTAATGCCAGAGACAAGTAGTATCCCAGATGTTACAGATGTAGCGCCACAAGACCCTCAAGAACTAGCGATCGCACCGGTATTCCCAGTGATCAGGGATTATCACTCGTGGAACCAATTGGAGTCAATCCGTGTGAGAGAACTGTTGAGTGCATCCAATATTAGGGACGACCCGTTGAGTAACCATGACTTTAAAGTTTATACATTTAAGCAAATGATGTGCGAAACTGGACACCGAATGGAGAACTGGATTAAGGATACAATAAGTTTCGCCAAAAGTCTCAATGGATTCAAGACTTTCTGTGCCGACGATCAGTGGACTCTCGTTAAGAATGGATGCATTGAAATGTTTTTAATGAGACACGCGTTGTATTATAATGACGAGGGTCAGTGTTTTAAAATATATGTGGTAAGCATACAGTACAATATCTTTACATTAATAATATGGTAATTTAAGATAAGTATTGTTTATTCTAATAAATTACTTTATTATATTGTATGTTGTGTAAACATCGATCAGGGTGATAACAAGTCAATTTTATTTGATCTGGAATTGTTAAATTTTCAAGATTTCCCTTATTTACAAACTTTAAAGTTAATTCTTGACAGATTGTTACCTGAAATCAAACACGATTCAATTATTATTAATTTGGTATGTTGTTATTTATTAATCTCGATACCGTATATAAAATATCTATCTATTTTCAAACTATTGTAGTTAACAACAATAATACTTTACAACCCTAATCGACTCAACCTTAAACATAAACGAAATGTTAAGTAAGTTTTTTGAAAATTTCTTTTATTCTGTATGTAATTGTAATTTCTAATGTATTTATATTAATATATTTTTGATATTAATAGATTGGAGCAGCAACTATATATTTATTTACTTCAAAAATATCTTCTAGTAAAGTATCAAATGGAAAATGACTCGCATTCAAAACTATTAATATTATTAAATAGTTTAATTAATTTAAGTAATTTAAAGGAAATACAATTAATGTACGGAAAGACTGATAATTTTAAAGAGTGTATTCCTTATTGTGGACCATTGACCAGGGAGATTTATGATGTTAAAGTCTAATATTCTTTGTTAGTTTAGTCTTAATTAAAATTACGAAAATTGTACTTAATCAATATTTTTCATATTTGAATTCATAATTCATTTTATAGACACTGTATTATTTAGTGCATGATTAGTGCATTTAGTGATTAAAATATAAACAAATAAATTAAGATAATATAGTACACTATCTTCTTGTCATTATTTATTAGTGTATTCTGGTATGTATTAAATTACAATTTTCTCCAAACATTTGACAGTTTTTATAAATTAATGGCAAATTAATGTAAATAAAAGATAATTATAATTTTGTAAAACTGGATATTAATGTTAAAAGCAATTCATTAGACGGTAGGTGTACTTCAATCTGAAATGATGTGGAAAAGTGAAGTGAATTTTATAATGTTTTGTAATAAGCATTGATAAGTTTTATTACTATTATCTAACAAACAATGATAATTATATGATAACATTTATAAAATACATTGTTTAATTTCTAATTAACCGAATTTATAATAATTCATACAATTAACAAATAATTCATTTAATATGAATCGCTATAAAGGAAATAAGATTTGCGAGATATGTGGCGATAAAACAATTTGTAAGTTATATTCACTTTTTAAATTAAATGTATATTTGTTTATACAGTATTACGAAATTAGCAATCCAAATTATAACATGATATTTTTGAATTATAAACACAAAACTAATACACAATTATATGCTAATTGTCAATATATTATATATAATATGATTTTTAGGCCGAAATTTTACGGCAAATGCCTGCGAGTCGTGTAAAGCATTCTTCCGACGAGTGGTTCGTCTCAATAAAGTAATGAATTCATAGAAACAATTAATATATAAATTTAATTGTAATTGTAATTTATAACAGCAATATGTATGTCCATCAAAAGGCAAATGTGTTATAAATATCACGACCAGGACAATGTGCAAACAGTGTCGACTCAATAAATGCTTAGCAGTGGGAATGAAACGAGTTATGAAGTTATTTATATATTTATAAACAATTTTAAGTAAATGAAAATATCTTATATATAATATATACAGGAATTCATACGAAGTATTGAAGACAACAAATTTAGACGACAATTGATTGAAGAAAATAGGGCTAAAAGAAGAGAGAAATGTGGAAAAAGTGCGGATAGTGTGGACTCTTCACCGGTATCTGACGGGTCGACCATACCTTCCCCGCAAACTGATGATACCAATGGATTCTTGAATGACTTGATTGAAAATACAGTTAATATTAGCGACGAAGAGATTACTAATCAGATAACAGAGATAGAGAGTAGTGTAATGTCTGAGACAAGTAGTGTCACTGAAGTTGCAGCTCCAGATCCTCAGCTAGTGATCGCACCGGTATTCCCAGTGATCAGCAATTATCACTCGTGGAACCAATTGGAGTCAATCCGTATAACGGAACTGTTGATTGCGTCCAAAATTATTGAAATCCCTATCACTGAAAATGTGCATAAAATCTATACATTTAAACAAATGATATGCGAATGTCAGCAACAAATGGAGGACTACATTAGAGATATCGTAAGTTTCACCAAAAGTCTCAATGGATTCAAAAGTTTCTGTTCCGACGATCAGTGGACTCTCGCTAAGAATGGATGCATTGAAATGATTATAATTAGACAAGTGTTGAATTATAATGACGAGGGTCAGAATTTTACAATAAGTGTGGTAAGATTATTAGGTTACAGTATTATATAACATTTATATTAAATACTTATTATAGTGAATAACATAATTACTATAAGACGTCCTGTAATGTTGATATTAAATATAACTCAAATTACCTAGGACAATGGCAAATCAATCGAGATTAATTTGGACGTGCTAACATTTCCAAAAATACCTTATCGGCAGACATTAGAAACATTTTTGAACAAAGTTGTCCCTGAATGCAAATACGACTCGATTATTATTAATTTGGTAACTATAATCTTACTGTACAAGTTAGATTAATAATTAATGTAAAGAATTTGTTAAGAAATTTTAATTAATTTAATACAGTTGACAGCAATCATACTTTACAACCCAAATCGACCCAATCTCAAACATAAAAATTATGTTAAGTATGTTTAGAAAATATCGCCCTTTTACAATAAAATTTATATTTTATTTTATATGATAAATTATCATTGATAATAGACTGGAGCAACAATTGTATATTTATTTACTGCAACGCTATCTACTAATGAAGTGTCAATCGGAATACGACTCGCATTCAAAACTATTGAAACTATTAAATACTTTAATTGATTTAAACAATTTAAAAGAAATGCAGTTATGGTATGGAAAGGGTGAAGATTTTAAAGAGTGTATCCCTTATTGTGGACCACTAGCCAGGGAGATTTATGATATTAAAGTCTAATTATTATTTGAATTATTATGCTTGTACCTAATAATCATAGCAAATAAAGAAATTTATCATAATTTATAAATATCTGAAATTAATTAACAAATTATTGTACCAATATTTTAGTCATAAACTATTAAATATTTCTAAATCTAGTTGACATTGAAATAATTTTATTGATGTTTGAGGAAAAATAAAAAATTTATTTATCTAACTCTATCTAATATTAATACTACTCTATTGTAAAACATTGTATACAAATTTAACCTTGGATGACATAATTATCTACGTAAAAATAATAATGGTGTAAATAGATGGGTGAATATATTGTAAACAGAGTTTGTTTGGTATGCGGCGACAAGGCTCTTGGTATGTTATTTTAAAATAAAAACTTTTCAATTAAATTTAACACACATTTTTAATTATCCATGTCCATTTAAATATAAAGGCCGTAACTTCAGTATCACATCTTGTGAACCGTGTAAAGCCTTTTTCAGACGTTTTGCCCACAGAGATAAGGTATAGCAACATATAAATTAGATGAATCATTTATATGACTAATATATAGCTAGATAATTTTAATTAAACACTTTTACCATATAATAGAAATTAATATGTCCATCAAATGGCAATTGTGTGATCACCGCAAAGACTAGATCCGTGTGCCGGAGGTGTCGGCTAAACAAATGCATAGCCGTTGGCATGAAAAAAGTTTGTGATTTTGTAAATATTCATAAATTATGATTAATTTCTACTTATTTTATATATCAATTAGGAATACATAAAAAATAACGAAGAAAACAGAATAAGAAAACAAATATTTATCGAAACCAAAGGCAGTGGAGAGCAACTCAATGATAGTCCAAAGTCTGACAAACTTTTGCAAACAAATGATGAAAATAGTGACAAAGACTGTGACAATGAATTACTTGACGATACTTTAAATAGCAATTGTAGTGGAGACTCAAATCAACAAATTATAAGTGTTAATAATCATGGTCAAAATGAAAGCACGGTTACAGTATTATCCATTCATAAGACAATTACTGATTATAAGGGTTGGAATGCAATGGAAAGTCATCGGATGATGGAGTTATTCACGGCATCCAAAGTGTTTGACTATTCATTGAGCTCACATGTGGTCGAAATAAATGACCTGCGTGCATTATGCAAAATAGGTCACCAACGATTTGATAAAATACTGTCAGATATAGTAAACTTCACAAAACTCTTGAAGGGGTTTAAGGGTATCTGTGCCGATGACCAGTTGGCACTCGTGAAGTATGGTATCATTGAAATGAATATAATCCGGCACATTAATTTCTATAATAATAAGACCGAGTGTTTTATTTTAGATGTGGTAATCAAATATTATTATTAGTTAATAAATATTCTTATATTTAATATAAAATTCTTAATATATTTATAGGACAACTGTATCTCAATCAAAACGAGTTTTGACATTTTTAAGACCTTTTGCCCGGGTTATTATGACCTTTATAAAAAATTTATTACTAAGTTGTACTCCATTTGCAAAAAGGACCCGATTGTTGTTAATTTGGTGGGTGACCTTTCAATGGTATTAAGTATTTACAATTGACTTATTTGATTGTTCACAGATGTGTGCAATCATACTATTCAACCCAAATAGACCTCATTTACAGCATAGGAATTACGTTAAGTATGTTTTCAAATCTAGTAATGAATTTAAATATACAGATATTTATTTATAACATTTAAATGAATTTTAATGATTAGACTCCAGCAGCAACTGTATATTCATTTACTACAAAGATATCTAGCATTAAAATATCGATCGGAATCACAATTAAAACTTTATATTCTGATGAATATTTTTGATGATTTACATAATTTAAAAGAAATGCAAATACAAATTGAAGGGTACGAGCAACAAGAAGAATGTTCAAGGTATTTTGGACCACTAGCCAGGGAGATATATGAATTGCATGCATAATAATATATTTATTATGATGCCAAGTACAATAATTTATCTTAAAGTGAACGTATAAATTGCAAATATTATTCATATGTATTTTAGATATAAAATTTATAAATAAAATTATTAAAATATATTACATTATTATATTGTATATTTAATTGAATACCTGTAGAATCTACAGTGTAAATTAATAAACCATTTACATGTAAGCAAACCTGGTGAAATTTCTAATTAAAATAAATTTCTAACTAAACACATGTTTTAATATTAATAAATTTTTCATAATAAATTAAATTTCATTTAATTAAGCGTAAATTTAATTGAACATTTATTGTATGTGCTCAGTTAGCCATATATTTTAGAAAGAATTTTACTCAATCATTAATAATATATTACGGTATTAACCATGGTTGCTTACGTGAGCTTACTAATCGTGATATCCCTTGTAAATTGTAAGTTATTTTTAAATTTATAGTCTATTAGTAACTATTATTTAAAATAAATAAGTAAGTGATGAGAGAGAGAGAGAGAGAGATGACAAATTCATAATAAATAATAAATGTAATACTATTACGACGGTTAGGGGTGGTCGGGGACGCTGCGTATGATACAGAGGCTGACCACGCGTTTGATAGGCTAGAGTTCTTCGGCACCGGAACCCCATTACCCGAGACAGAGAACGACATCAACGAGTTTTGCGGATTTTTGTCTGGAAATGACGGCCAAACGTAATCATTATTATATCATTATTGTTAGATAATTATAAGTGGTATGACCAAGGTGTCTAGTAGTGGAATAAGGTTCACAAATATTTTAAAAGACAGACTAAACTAATATTAGCAAGCTCTATTTTGATGATACAGTATATTTATCTGTCACATCTACCTGTACTAAATTATTAAATTCTTATCCCATACACAATAATAGTTAGAAATCATTGCTATAACTAAAATGTGGTCAATATTTAGTCACTACCAGTCGGATACAAATAAGAGTCAAAAATTTGTGGCCACACTGAAAGAGCCCCTGAAGGCCCTGCACGGGGCGGTTATTGGCAGACATAATCCGGGTCTTTTCTTACGTGATTTCTGTTCGATGCCCAACAACACGTCGGTGGCCAAGGGCTGGAACAGTCGACTCGCGACCGCCAAACTGCTGAACGATGCGACTGTCGGACAGCTATTGCGGGCCCTTAAGGACGACCGACGCGACTCGCAAACCGGTATCTATTGGTATGTATTCGTAATTATGTCGCTTGTGAGAGCACTCAACCAACTAGTACAGAGCTCAGGTAACTTATATTGAAACTTATCGTGCAACTTATATTAATCAAAAGTGGTGCGTTTTATTTTGAACATTTTGCTACATACTATACAATATATTATGTAAATTTTAAGTTTAGTCCCAAAAATGCTTACGCTAGCTTTTAGCTAGTACTAATAACTATGCCAATACTGTACCCTGCTCACACAAATAGCATACTGGGCTCGTTCGCCGAGCAGATGGAGCTGAGTCACGCCGAGCCGCCAGAGTTGAGGGCATTCATGAGGGGAATGGTGGCCGCGATCGCCGACTTGGCCAACACGGCCGAGCACTTGCAACTCGGTTGGCGTTCCGACAATAAGTGCAAACTGGAAAGCCGTAAGCTTAGTTTGCTTGAGGGCAAACTGGATGGTCTACGCTCCATACAGTACATCGCCCTACTGGCCATGAACAAATATTTCTAACCAAGCATAATAAATTATTTATATAAGCTTGAATATAGTTATATTTATTATGAACACGTTGTTGTCATTATAATCTATGTCAAAAATAAATCGATGTACCAAGAATTTAAAAAATTTAAATGCAAATTTTTTGAGTTGTTTATTGACCTAAAAATTAATACGCTAATCAAATTGACCAGTGTGAACTATATTTGAACCCTTGGATTAAACAACAGATGATCTAATCTAATACATGATGAAGTTTGAGTCCAACGGCTTCTCCGCCTTAACCACGATATGACACAACGAGGTGTTCGTGAGCACCGTCTCGGCCAACGAGTCGATCCGCGACCACAACAACGCGCACAGCATTTGAATATTGCTTTTGTAGCGCAACTTTTGCCACACCATAGGCTTTGTGTTCAAGTCTTTCTGTTATTCATATTACAGTTAAATTGTACGAAAATTAATTTAATTTATTTACTATTAAAGACAAATTTGTTTAATTAATAAATAGTCAATAAGTTATAATTCTCATTGAAATGAATGCTATTTATTTCTCATTACTACAGTATTATTTATCCTTAAAGCTACCTTTCCTGTAATACTTCCCTTACAGTTAACGGTAAGACTATTCAAAATATATTGTTTTATGAATTTTAAAATCGTTTATAACTTTTAAAAGAGTTTACATTTAATGTTGTGCTTGAAGTTTAAATATCATGTAAAATGGATGTAGTTTTAATTTTTAATACGATCTTTAAACTGATTTTAAAGATCGGTTTAAAATTGTTATTATTTATCTTGTATATTAAATCTATAAATTAAGTTTTTATAAAAATTTTACTTAATTATATTGTATATTTAATTTTATACTCGTAGATTAAATTAGATATGTTATCCTGTATGACCTTTATAATTGTTATATTACAGGTTGATAAGATATATAAAATATTGCATTTCTATTATTTATTACAATATAAATGTATTTAAAGCATCATAAAGTACCCAAAGTACTTGAGATATAAATATTTCACTATCATTGTGTAATATAAAAATTATTCAGTTGCTTTCACCTAAATCAAGATTTTATCACATGTTACTTTACGGCTTTAATTATATTTGATAATGTCATGGATACGTGATTAAGTGTATTAATCACTGTAAAATAAAAATACAAAAACAAACATTTTGCTAATTTATATGACATTTATAAACCAAAACTTAAACTAAAATGTGTGCCAAGAATTGCCAAAAACCTAAAAAATCAAATATGATTTGTGGAGTTTGTGGTGATACAGCTATCGGTAAAAAATTACCTGCCTAAATATGTTGATAACTATATTACTTAATATTTGTCTGATGTTTAGCCCGAAATTTTGCTGCAATAGCCTGCGAGCCGTGTAAAGCATTTTTTAGACGATATGCGTTTAAACAAAGGGTTTGTATATCTTTTAAAATATAATTTAACAATAACATTTATATTAACGTTAAAGTTATTAAACTATCATCTTCAAAATAGTGGCTCATTTGTGCCACATATGGCAACTGTAATATATCTGTCAACACTAGAAGTTTTTGTAAAAAGTGCAGAATTGATAAATGTTTTTCTATTGGCATGAGAAAGGTAATTATGCTTTAAGTTCATAGTATGGTTTCATTAATGTATAAAATATATCAAATGATAGGAAATCATTAAGACTGAAGAGGAAAGACAGAGCAACAGACTTTTGATTGAAGAAAATCGTCTTAAGAAACGAAAACTTAATGAATGTTCAGATTCTGTGGACTCGACCACAGATTCACTGATTATTAATTCAGACGGTTCTCAGTCTATAGTCGAAAATGACTTTATTATGGAATTGATTGAAAATACTATAGAAATAAGTGACGATAAACTCGAGGAAGAAATCATGGAAATTGAAAACTACATAAATAATAGCACCCGGGATATTTTTAAACAAATATCAACCAGATCAAAAATTATGCCTATATATAAAGAGCTTACAGACTATAATTGTTTGAATGAATTGGAAAACAAACGAATTTGTGAACTGAAAAGTGCATCAAGCATGTACCACGGAATCCTGGATAAGTTAAATACCATATTACACAATGAAAAACCACATAAAGTAAAAGATATCAAAGAGATGTTTGACATCACAATGAATAGGACGGAACCAAATGTTAAGACTCTTATACATTACGTCAAGGGATTGAAGGGATTCACTGGGATGTGCCCCGAAGATCAGTTTATATTAGCCAGGGGTGCCTACCCTGAGCTTAATCTCATGAGATGTCTTATGTTTTATAATGTTGACTCGAGGAACTTTATACTGAAAATGGTGTGTAATTATAGCTTTAAATTATCCCATATAGCAATTAAAGTTTAAAATTTAGACATGTATAAAATATTATGTTATTTTGTATAATAGGACGAAAAGACATTAGTGAGTGTCAGTATTGATGTGTTTGGTCAATATGCTCACAAACACAGTTTCTCGTGTCAACAGATTATGGAGCAATTATTATTGAATTTGTGTCAGGATCATACGACACTTGAATTGGTACTATACATTTTTGTAGAAATTAAGTTCGAATATTTTAATTATTATTTATTTCCAACACATTCATAGCTCATTGCAATACTGCTATTTGATCCAAACAGACCAAATTTAACACACCACCAAAATATAAAGTATTACCATTATCTTAATTAATTATTTTAAGTAATTAAATTTAATTATGATTTTTGTGATAGACTCGAACAGCAACTATACATATATTTGCTGCAAAGGTATCTATTAATGAAATATGGATTGGAATGGGAGTCAAGACTACAAAAACTGATGATCACATTAAGGGACTTACAAGTGATGATTGAATTGCAGAGAATATACAGTAGGAATGAAAATAACCACTATTTGCCAAACTATGCCTCAATTCTGATTCAGGGACTTAATTAAACTAAAATCTGATCTGGGTTAAACCAATTGTGTTGAGTAACTCGAAGAATATTTAAGATATTTTGGATCACTAACAAGGGAGATATTGTATATGAAATTCATCATGGTTGCATTCATAATAATTTATTTATTATGATGTTAAGTAATTTATTTTCAAGTTAACCTATAAATTGTGAATATTTATTATGAATATCAAATCTATTAATAAAGTTATTATAAAATATTATTTAATTATATTTCATATTTAATTGTATACCTGTGTTGATTGTACTGTTACACTGTACAGTACTGTGTTTTAATGTGTTATATCTAGATTTTATCATATTAATTTACGGCTTTAATTGTATCTGGTAATGTCATGGATAAGTGATTAAGATTAGTGATTGAAAAATATAAATATTAAAATAACCGTTTGGTAGTTTATATTACAATACTAAATTAAAACTACAATTAACAAAGTGTGCGGAAGTCACTCAAACCTAACAAATCAAATATGATTTGCAGTGTTTGTGGCGATATAGCTATTGGTAAGAAACACATGTATCATAAATAGTTTACTAAATAAATTACATAATATTCATTGATGTTTAGCCCAATATTTAGATTCTAAACTTTATTTTAAAATTTTTGATAAATATAAAAATATATAAATAAATTAGATTATTAATAATAACTTATTATATAAAATATTTTATTGAATTTGTAATTATTGCATTGTAATGAATACACATTTCAATATAATTTAATTAAAACAGTATTTTAGTTTTAATAGCAATAATTTTAATTATAATTATTTAGGACACTTATCCGGCTCAATACAATTGTTGTTGGCGTCCCTGACATACCCGTGAAGTTATTTTTAGTAGTTTAAAGATTATTTACAAGATAAAGATTAATTTATTTGTAAAAACTATTACTTTCATTAAAATTTGTTCAATGTTAAAAAATAACATACCAGTGGCATGGTTACTAGATTAAACTAATTTATGATATTGCTGTACAAATAGTAAATAAACATTATAATTACCGAAATAATAAAATGAGTGTTAAATCCAACAAAATTTGTGGCGTTTGCGGTGATAAAGCAAATAGTATGTGATATTGGTATTAATATTTTAGCAAGGTTTTTTAATTTTGATTACGTTGTATGTTTAGTCCGAAATTACGGGGCATTAACATGCGAGCCCTGTAAGGCATTTTTCCGGAGATATGCGTTTAGATCCGAGGTCTGATACTGTGGATACTAAATACTGTAGATTACCATGATCACATAATTATATAAGTTAATTATGAATTGATTTTAACAGTCTATCAAATGTTCATCAAATGGCGGGTGTCTTATAAACCTCATGACGAGGGGTTTCTGTAAGAAATGCAGAATTGATAAGTGTTTGGCTATTGGAATGAGAAAGGTAAATGAAAGTTATTAATAGCTTGTTCAGTTACTTATCTTAATATAATTGACTATTTGATAGGAAATCATTAGGACTGCAGAGGAAAAACTGAGACAAAGGCTATTGATTGAAGAAAATCGTCTTAAGAAACAAAAACTCAATGATTGTTCAGATTCTGTGAACTCGACCACCGATTCCCTGATTATTAATTCAAATGATTCTCAATCTATAGTCAAAACTGACTTTATTGTGGAATTATTTGGTAATACTATAGAAATAAATGATCATAAACTTCAGGAACAAATAATTGAAATTGAAAAATATATCACTATTAATACTCGTGATATAATAAGGCAAATATCAACCAGGTCACCAATAATGCCGATTTACAAAGGGCTCACTGATTATAAAGGTTTAAATCGACTCGAATATAATCGCATTAATGAATTGCTAACAACATCTCAAATGTACAAAAGGGAAATACATTTTATAAATAACACAATTAGAAACCAAAAAATATATAAAGTTCTTGACCTGCAAGAGCTGGATGAAATCACAAAAACTGATCACACGGTTAAGACACTCGTGCAATACCTAAAGGGATTGAACGGATTTACTGGAATGTGCTCTGAAGACCAGTTAATATTAGTTACCGGTGCTTACCATGAGGTCAACATCATGAGATGCCTTATGTTTTATCATTTTGAAACAAGGAACTTTATATTAAAGGTATGAATTAATTAGAAATTAATGATCATAAATTATTGCAATATATAAATTTATTTTCATTTGTGTTTTTGAAAGAATGGGAAATCATTAATGAGTATAAATATTGACAAATTTGGTCAAAGAATGGGACAAAAGCATAGTTTTTCTTGTCGACAGATTATGGAGCAATTGTTATTGGGTTTGTGTCAGGATCATATAATTCTTGAATTGGTAATATTAATAAGCATTTTGTTATATAAAGTTATAAAATTAGAAAATACTGTAATTATTCTTTGTATTCATAGCTCATTGCAATACTGCTATTCGATCCAAACCGACCTAATATAACACATCAACAAACTATAAGGTATTATAAATATTTTAATAGACCTATCATATTTTAGTATTAATTTGAATATAATATTTTGTGATAGACTCGAACAGCAACTATACATATATTTACTGCAAAGATATCTAGTAATGAAATATGGATTGGAATGGGAGTCAAGACTTCAGAAACTGATGATCACATTAAGGGACTTACAAGTGATGATTGAATTGAGGAGGATATACCAATACAGTAGGGATGAGAATAAGCATTATTCGCCAAACTTTACCACGATTATTAGCAATTATATATGTGAATTACATTAAGGTTTCTAAAACTTTGGAAATGAAATACAGTATAATTTTATATATTTATGATTGATTTAAAAATTAAATTATTCCAGAATCATAGTTGTAACTAAGAAAGTCAAATTTATATTTTATTCATCTTAAGTTAATAAAAGATAATTTTTAAAACGTTTATTATTGTTGTAGAATGAATTAAGTTGATAATTATTATATCAGTGTCATGGTTACTTAATTATGATGAAACCAATTATTATTAACAGAAAATTATATTTATTAAGATTAATAAAATGAGTGTTAAATCTAACAAAATCTGCGGGGTTTGCGGTGATATAGCAAATGGTATATAATATATTATACATATAAATATTTTATATAAAATATATTACAGATTATGTAAAAGTATCTGAATAAAAGTTTAATTTAATTATTTGACTAATAATTAGCCAGAAACTTTGGGGCATTAACTTGTGGACCATGCAAGGCTTTTTATAGGAGATATGCATTAAAACCAGAGGTATGTGATATTGAACTCATCATAAATTATCATTATAAATACGTTATAAGAAATACAATTTAAATTTAAATTGTGAATTTCAATTAGCAGTCACTAATTTGTGTATCAAATGGCAAATGTGTTATAAATGTTTACACAAGGAGTTCTTGTAAAAAATGCAGAATTGATAAATGCTTGACCATTGGTATGAAAAAGGTTATTATAATTTTTACGTATACTATATAAAATTTTGGTTATGATATTATTTTAAAGTGTTTATGTTTTATAGGAATTTGTCAGAAATACAGAGGAAAATGAAAGGATGAAGCATTTGATTGAAGAAAATAAACGCAAGAGAAAAGAATGCAATGAATGTACAGATTCTGTGGACTCGACAACCAGTCCATCAAATCTATCATCAGATGAATCGCAAGTAATTAAACAAAATGATGAAAACAATGAGTTTTTATCGCAATTAATTGGAAACACACGCGATATTAGTGATGAAGAAATCAATGAACAGGTTATGGAAATTAAAAGTGATTTTATAAATGATGTAATTAATAGGATTAGACAAAAATCACATCAAATAATGCCTATTAACAGATCCATTTCCAATAACCAGTGTTTAAATGACTTGGAAATGCATAGGATTAATGAACTCCTAAACGCTTCCCGGGAATACAATATTAGTATTGAAAAAATAAAAGAAATATATACTGGTGACAAACTTAAGTATTTTAATAAAATTTTTATATGCATGTTACAATATTACATACCTCTAGCTATATCACCACAAACTCCGCAGGTTTTGGTGGATTTGGCACTCATTTTATGAGTTTCCATCAAATGTGCAATTGATTTATTTGTGAAATTAATAGAAATGTGTAATCTAGTAACCATAACATTACTATACTGTATTGTATGTGAAAATATTCATATGACATATCATTTATTTTGTCACCACAAACACCACTTAATTGTTTGACTTAATGTGTCGAATTCATTAACACTTAATTTATATTTATTATAAATATAAGTGCAATTTTATTGTATAAGAAAATAATTAATTAATTTCATCTGGTAATAACAATTGACAACAAACTATAAAATAATGTATGGAAACTTTGACAAAAATTGATTTTTAATTTGTATTTATTAAAATATAATTGTTATTTAATTATTAACAATCGTATAATTCTTGGACAAGTGGACTACACTTTTTTAAATAAGGTTTCAATTCATGCAAATCATAAACTCTGGAAAATGCACTCAATTCTTGCAAATCGTTTAACGTTTTCATAAGCGCTGAAAATATTAATTCCGATTCCGATCCATATTTTATTGCCAAATATCGTTGTAATAAATATAAATACAATTGTTGTTGCAGTCTGTTAATAAAATAGTAAATTTTATTCAATGTATTATTGTGAATTTATTTTTTTAGTTGTATATGCTTACCTAATATTGTGTCTATGCCTGATATTGGGTCTGTTTGGGTTAAATAGTTGTATTGCAATTAACTGTCAATATTTGCACACATTTGTTTAGAAAATATTATTACTGTATTAAATTTACTAAATTTATTAAATACTAGTACTAAACTTATAACTAAATTTAACTAAACTAAATTTATAGCCATTGTTATAAATTTAAACAAACCTCATAAAACTTAAAACTTTCAGTTTGTATGTCATATAGCCTGATACCTCTGATTGTATTAATCTCAATGAAGGCATACTTTACGAGTGATTCCTTGTCTTCGAGACAGATATCATTGAATCCATTCAATTGTTTCACATATTTAGCCATTTTTATAAGTACTAACTGTACTGTTAGCTGATCTCTCACATAACTCTAACTTGTCAATTAGTTTATGCGGTTTGTCACCAGTATATATGGTTTTTAATTTTTCAATACCATTATTATATTCACGGGAAGCCTTTAGCAGTTCTGTAATCCGATTGCTTTCCAATTCATTTAAAGTCTGGTTATTGGAAATGGGTCTATGAATAGATGTTATTGTAAATGATTTTCGTTTTATCTTGTCCATCATATGATTTATATAATCACTTTTAATTTTTATAATTTGTTTTTTAATTTCTTCATCACTAATATCGCGTGTGTTTCCAATCAATTGCGACAAATACTCATTGTTTTTGTAATTTTGTTTAATTACTAGCGATTCATCTGATGATAGATTTGATGGACTCGTTGTCGGGTCCACAGAATCTGTACATTCATTGCACTCTTTTCTCTTGCGTTTATTTTCTTCAATCAATTGTTTTCTCTTTTCATTTTGCTCTGCATTTCTGACAAATTCCTACAAAACACAAACACATTTAAAATACAATCAAAATTCTATATAAATTCGTGAAAATTATATTTACTTTTCTCATACCAATGGCCACACATTTATCAATTCTACATTTCTTACACGAATGCCTTGTTTTAACATTTATATCACAATTGCCATTTCATACACAACTTACTGACTGTTATTTGAAATTAATAATTAAAATAGTTATAATATAATATATTACTGTATTATATTCTATTTAAATATTTATCCTGATAATTTAGTTTTAGTTGAATATTATATGCCTCTGATCTAAGCGCATATCTCCTAAAGAATGATTTACACGGCCCACAAGTTAATACCATAAAGTTCCTGGCTAATTATTTAATACATCTTGTATATTAATTTTTAATACATGACCAGTAAAATATTTTAATCCAGATTTTTATATGTATATTGCATACCATATGCTATGTCACCACGAACACCACAAATTTTGGTGGATTTTGCACTCATTTTATAAGTTTCCAACAAATATGCACTTTATTTATTGTAAGAAAACAACAAATTTGTTTAATCTAGTAACCATGATATTTATATTTTATTTATCAACATTTAATAAATTCTACAACAATGATAAACATTTTATATTTTGTACTTTATTAACATTTAATGAATTTAATTTAACTTACTTGTTAGTTGCATGAGTTACAAACTTTGGGGAAAAAGTAATTTATTATAATTAAGTAATGTAAGAATTAAGTTTTTAATTAATCATAAATTTATAAATTATATTTCATTTTCTATTGTTTTAGTTAATTAATGTAGTTCATGCATATATCTGCCAATAACTGTGGTATAGTCTGGTAAATCAAGTTTACTCTAATCCCTAAAGTATATCCTTCACAAAATCAATCATTATTAGCAATCGTATAATTCTTGGACAATTGGACTACACCTTTGCAAATAAGATTTTAATTCATGAGTTACACAAACGCGAGAAAATTCAAGCAATTCTTGCAAATTGTTTAACGCCTTCATAAGCGCTGATAATATTAATTGCGATTCCGATCCATATTTTATTACTAAATATCGTTGTAATAAATATAAATACAATTGTTGCTGCAATCTGTTAATAAAGTAATGAATTTATTCAATGTTTTATTTTAAATTTATTTTTTAGTTGTAAATTCTTACTTAATGTTGTCTTTATGTCTGATATTAGGTCTGTTTGGGTTGAATAGTTGTATTGCAATTAACTGTAAATATTTACAAACAATTATTTAGAAAATACTATTATTAAATACTAGTACTACTTAAAATACCAATTCAATCATAATTTGGTCCTGGCACAAATTTATAAACAGTTGTTTTAAAATGTCTTTAAGCGAGAATTTGTATTTATAGTTGGATCCCCAACTATATGAGTCTAAATTCATGAGTACAACTTCATTGTCCTATAAATAGAAATTTTAGTCATTGTTAATTACCATTGACTAATAACTAGAAAACTGACCTTGTAAACTTGAAAACAGTCAGTTTGTATGTCATATAACGTGATCCCTCTCAGTGTACTGATCTCAAAGAAGGCATACTTTACGAGTGATTCCTGGTCTTCGAGACAGATATCATTGAATCCATTCAATTGTTTCACATATTTAGCCATTTCCTGAAGTGCTAGGTCTACACTTTTAACCGACAACTCGATTACCTCCGACCTATCAATTAGTTTATGCTGTTTGTCACCAGAAAATATTTCTTTTAATTTCTCGATACGAGTAATGTATTTATGGGAAGCCTCCAGGAGTTCATTAATCCGATTGCTTTCCAATTCATTTAAACCCGGGTTATTGAAAATGGGTCTATAAATAGGTATGATTTCACATGATTTTTGTTTCATCTTATCCATCATATTATTTAGAAAATCATTTTTAATTTCTATTATCTGTTTATTAATTTCTTCATTACTAATATCGCGTGTGTTTCCAATTAATTGCAATAAAAACTCATTGTTTTCATCATTTTGTTTAATTATTTGCAATTCATTTGATGATTGATGTGATGGACTGGTTGTCGTGTCCACAGAATCTGGACATTGATTGCACTCCTGTTTCTTACGTCTATTTTCTTCAATCAAAAGTCTTATCCTTTCATTTTGTTTAGCATTTCGGACTAATTCCTGTTTAAAAAATTATAATTATTGTAAAACACAAAACAGTGTGCATTAGAGATGATAATTACTTTTTTCATTCCAATGGCCAAACACTTATGAATTCTGCATTTCTTACACGAACTCCTTGTGATAACGTTTATAATACATCTGCCATTTGACGCACAAATTACTGGCTGTTAATACGAACTCACAATTAATACACTCAACTAAAGTGTTTCAAATTGTTATGTATGATTATGGTAATTTTATAGACAATCGCATATATCAAACCTCGGGTTTAAGGACATATCTCCTGAAAAAATGTTTGCATGGCTCGCATGTAAATGCCCCAAAATTCCTGGCTTAATTTTCATATTTATACATGGTCAATAAAATATATATTTTATACAAAAATATTCATATGACATACCATTTGCTTTATCACCACAAACGCTGCATAATTTGTATGTCTTATTATTTGTAGAATTCATTAACAATTAATTTATAATTATTTTAAATATAAGTGGAATTTTATTGTATAAGAAAATAATTAATTAATTTCATCTATTAACATTTGATAACGTACAATAAAATAATACAGTATATGGAAACTTTAAAACACAATTTGATTTTCAATTTGTATCAACTAAAAATATACTGATAATTGCTATATAATTATTAATAATCATATAATTCTTGGACAAGTGGACTACACTTTTTTAAATAAGGTTTAAATTCATGAGAATCATAGACTCGGGAAAATGCACTCAATTCTTGCAAATCGTTTAACGCCTTCATAAGCGCTGATAATATTAATTGGGAGTCCGATCCATATTTTATTACTAGATAACGTTGTAGTAAATATAAATACAATTGTTGCTGCAATCTGTTAATAAAGTAATGAATTTTATTCAATGTTTTATCGTAAAAATTCTGTAAATTAATTTTATGTTTTTATATTCTTACTTAATGTTGTGTTTATGCCTGATATTAGGTCTGTTTGGGTTGAATAGTTGTATTGCAATTAACTGTAAATATTTGCACATTTATTTAGAAAATACTATTATTAAATTTATACA